AGATGAGTCTAGGTTTGTGGCAAAGCTTTGTACAAACGAGCGACACAAACACACGACACATAAAACTCTGACAGGATAAACTGGGAGATCTTTATACTTTACATTCAAGTTACTAAAAGTCACTTGAATGTTGGTGAATTTAAAAATGTGTGCTTTGTGAATTTCAGAAAATGAGGGTAATTTTGTGCAAAATCAAGTCTGATGTAAGTCAAACGTGTGTGTGCCTCGATGTGCTCCTGTTCTGAATAGTGAGACTGTGCAGGGATCAAGGGTGTGGGATTCCATGTTCCGCTTGGTTTTTAGCAACATTTTTTTTATGTTTAAAAGTGCATTATTATGTGTTTCCCGCCACATAGTGCAATTTTATTTCGCAATCAAATAACTATATTACCTTCAGGTGTTATAAAAACGCTACTTATATCACATGACTTAAAAGAAATTTGACTTCATAATTTAACGGCTTGAAGTTGACCTTCTGTCTCTCTAAGAAAGTTCCTCTTTCTGAAACCTCCATTACAACATGGCTCCTCTATTAACTATGTAATAACATTTTTACCAGCTTTAGATGTAGGTCCTATAATGAGCCCAGCAGATGCGCAGATACACCAGGTGTTTGCTAATTGTTCCTGGCTAATCTGAAGGAGCTGCCAGCAGCGGTTTCCTTCTGTGTGAGGCCACTTGATGATAACCACGTGTTTTTTTTTTGTTTGTTTTTTGTTTTTTAATGATCACAAGCACATCTGCTAAACTTTGAAATTAATAGGGACTTCACTGGGACTTTTTGCACTGTTTCACCACTGCAGACATTATGAATCCACTGACATGAAGTTCTCTCATTATTTTGAGCTCAGGCATTGTGTTTTTCATCAAAAGCCTTTCTATTATTAGCTCCACCTCTTCTTTTCATCAAAAGAAGTCGTTATATGTTAAATCTCATAAAGATGGGAAAGAACGGCGCAAACAAAAACCTCCCAAACTTCTTTGATGCTTCTGCGGTGCAGCTAACCCAGTTACTCAGGCCTTCCTATTAGCTCGGAATAACATTAAGAGTGATTAAATCACCTGCGATTTTGTCATGGCAAGACACACTCTTTTGACCTGATTGCATGCTCCGTTATTTTGGCTCTCTGACTATTGAAGTCTCTATATTTAGAATTTCGACAATCAGCGCAGCTGCCACAGATGTACCTCTGATTGCTTTGATTAAAACATTTTTTGTGAGGATAAAAAGACGCCAGAGAGCCGAGTGCAGTCTCCTCTCAGTTCCTTCTCCCTGCCAGGACATTTGCTCTCGCTCATCTTTGCAGCCGGATATCAAACACCTAGGCACTTGGCAGCGATAAAAACTGGACGAGACATGGCAGAGGGAGCAGCTGTGAGAGGAAAATAAATCAGTTAACTGGTTTGACTTGGGGAAACCACCTGTGACGTACAGCTAGAAACGAGACCAAAATGGACAACTTCAATCCGTTGTAACAGCACAGAGGACGTTCCAGGAACAGATTTGTTCAACGTTCTCCAGGATTCTGCTGGGCATATTGTCAGATGAAGGCTTGGCAGGAAGCGGAGAATATATTAGAAATTCCTCCAGTTACAATTAAAATTAAAACTTGAGACAGCAATACATTCAGATTCAGCTACATCACAAATATGTCCTGACTCCTCATCTTTTTCTGTGTATTTTATTGGAATGGTTCATGACAGTCCAACACTTGGTGTGAAAATTATAATTAAAACAAAGTATATTCAACCTTCTCGGCGCTTTCATGATATAAACAATTTAAAGTTCGCACACTTAAATTTAGCCTTTTTTTTTTTTTTTTTTTTTTTAAATTGAGTACAGAAAAATTGAGTTCTAGCAGGTCTTAAACCAAAGAGATCAATCACATGTCTCTCTAGATGGATTTATTTCTAATAATGTAAACATTTCATTGTCTAAAAAGGATTAAAGTGGCCTCGGTTTCAGTTCGTGAACTCTGTTGGCTGAAACGTTGACCAACCCTCCGACCGGATCCTGTTACTGACCAGCAAAACCCTTAACATCTGCTGAAGTTGAACCGATGTTGAGACCCATGCATCACTTCTTCCTGTCTTCCAGTAGCTCCTCAGGCAGCCCTCACATCTGTGATCCGTCACCCACATTATCACCCGAGCCTCAAGACCAGGGATTTAGACAGCTGTGCTCTCCAGCTGTGATTTGTGAAACTCATTTCAGTCTCGACTGTCTGTCAGGTTGCGCCACATCGTTCCTCTCTGCAAATCTGTGCCCTTTGGACTCGGAGTCGCTCGGCACTACTTATCTGCTCGGACGCTGCTGGGCTCAAATTAGTCGGCAAAAAGCTTTGATGTCAAGAGGCTGAAAGGAAAGAACGCATAAAACTGGTAATAGAGCCGTTAAGATTGGCAGGTGCAGAGAATGAGCAGTCGCCATGACTTTCTGTTCACGGCTATTTGACTTCTTAGTCTTTTTTTTTTTTTTTGACTAAAAGTAAATAGGGGTGTGCCCAAATATCCAGTCAAAAATATGTTTAAAAACTTATGAGAAAATGTTTAACATCAGACTCACATCCTGTCTGACCCACAATCAAACAAATTAAATTGAGAAATAAACTGTAAAGTCTGACTGGGTTCAGCTGTTTACAATTAATTCTTTCCAAAGGCCTTTTACACACAGAAAAAAAATAAAATTTATACAAATAATATGTATTTTATGTGACATTATTAGAGCTATGCATGGTAACATGAACTAGGCCTGTCGCTGTAAACAACAAATAAATTAATTGCATAATAATTTTTAACAAGCTCCATAATTTCCATTTGCATGATTTATTTTTTTTTTCCCTTTACTCTCTTTCTACAAAAAACTGGATGATAAGAAAATGAAGTCTGGTGTTTTGATCTCAACTAGCCCTTGTTTTTTAAAGACAATTTTGTTTATAGAGACTTAATAATTTATTAATTTACTTATTTGTTGTTCCTGTTGCTTTGTTTATTTTGGATAGTAAAGATATCTTCCAGTTCCAGTGTTAAATATTCATTAGAATTTAAGGAATTCTAATGAATTCATTAATCTTTGGGAATGTCCTATTGTGTTATTTATCCATTACCATTGTATTTCTTGAAGATGGTCTCAAAACAACAATAATATTGTTTATCGCGATACATTCTGGCACAATTTATCATCCAGGAAAATTACTTATTGTGGCAGGCGTAACGTTAATGCATGCGATTAATATGAAAAGATTAATGCGTTAACATTACATGATGCAGCATTACCTATTTTTTATGTAAAAGCATCTCTCCCATAGAGCGTTTCTTGGTTCACTACAGCTTGTTACACAGCCAACTGCGGTCAAAAATTCAGATTCGCAAATAAGAATGAAAAGATGGGTGAGGAGAGTAAGATTGTTGTGCTCTGCGGTCAACTTTACTTAAGAAAACACAGCGGTTAGAGAGGACGCCACAAAAACGGAGGCAACAAATCTCGATGCGGTCGTCGAACCCCGTCCTCGGGTCCTTGTCTTTTCCCCCCCTTCTCTCTGCCCACTTCCTATCAGATTACCGTCAGAAAAAGAACTGAAACACCGCAATGGACGTTTGGATAAAACCAAGGTAGAATGTCCCCTAATTTGCAGTTATCCTTCCACTGAAGGATAATCAACTTATAGTTAACATTTCTAAATTATGTTTGAAGCAAAAATTACGTCTTTTAAACCTACCTGACTATGAAAACTTGGAAAGCTGAGGTGTTTGGTTTGAAACAAACTGATTCCCTACACATTTCTTGAAAACGTGGGCTTTCACATTTCAGGCTTACAAAGTTAATCACAGTGCCTAACTGATTAATCACAACACTGGAGTGTGATTGACTGACAACACTCGAAATTATACAGCGGCAGTACATTTGCCCACTTCTAAATATGCAGTCAGACCAACTCCTGACATTTACTTCATGCTAGAAGCATACACCAAGACACTAATCAGTGGGAAAGTTGGGGTTAAAGGTCATGCCAGAAAGTAACACCGACAGTTAACAGGGGAGATGGAAGCTAGAATTGATCTGCATCATTGTTGATTATTGGATAAAAACAACCAAAGTGTAGGAATAGCAAACTCACCTATTATGTAAAGCATAAAAAACATGAACATGTAAAGTTGAAAGCTGAAATTAAAGTCTGTTTTTGAATCAGATGAAACCCCACAAAGTCTGGTATTCAAATACAGAGAGGTTCATATCAAATTATACAGTATTTTGATCCCTGCAAATCTCACACCATAGAATACATTATCTCTCCACAAATTGTCCTCAGTTGGACTCACAAATTGACACATTGAAATGCTTCAAGGCTTTTCATCAGAAAAAGCAAAGCGTTCTACTGGAAAGTCCAAATAGTTTCTTTTTGAGAGCCTGTCAGTTCATTCATATACGAGCTATTCTCACATGACTGCCACCCAAAACGAGTTCCTCCTTTTTGGTTCCATGGTGAGTGAACTGAGTCCAGACTACAGTATAGTTAAAAAACCTGGAATTTCCCCAATGTTCTTTTTCTTTCTTTTTTTTTTTTCACAGAGTGAAGGTTTCACAAATGAAGCGATATATGAAATCATTGGTAATCCTTGCAGAACAGCATGTTTTGAATGCTCTTACCAAATTGTAAAGTAGCTGTAATACATTGAAACTATTGTACATTTCACACATTAATCTCAGACTATGTTCATATTCAGTGAAGATTCTATTCTAAGCACTTTGGCACTTCCACTGATGTTTTCCTCTGTCTTCAATGTTTAATTGTTAGTTCAACTTTTGAATGAGAAACATTTCAGCTCTAGTTTTAGTCCCGGTTCATTTCTTTACATGCTTTTCTTAAGATGTTGACCCGAGAAGTGGACCATTCATTATGTCTTATGCAGGCACAAATAAGGTAAAGAGCAATGCTGTTTTATGAAAGGTTTTTACATAAAAATAAAGAAGTTCCGAGAATAAAAATGTTGACACATACCAGGATCTGACTTGGAGAATGTATCCACATCCAGTAGACTCCTGAAAAATAAAGCAGAAATGTAAGTAAAAATGGTTCATTCTGACTTCCCTCACTGTGTTCTGACATTGGATTCATTCATTAACATTTCCAGGATTCCATTTGGATCTTTTCTCTTCATTTCATTTTTTGAGAGTTCCCAAAAAAGCCTTAGCTAAGCCCCCAAAGCGCGCAGTCATGAGCAGATTTAGATGTTTCCACAAAATGACTGGGGAACCAGCCATCAGAAAGAATGTGTAATGCGTTTCCATGAAATGAGTGCAGTATTGAACTAAATAAAACGTGGCTATCACAAAGACCCAATAATATGCTCCGGAAGGAGCTGATGAAACTGGCTTTGTTCCACAGTGAAAGCAAGTCCATGTCAGTAACGCAGTGGAGTTAACTGTATTAAAACCAAAAGCTGGTATAAAATAGAATTATAACACTAATTTAACTCCACTGATATCCACAATTTGGCAGCATTTCACATGTGAAACGTGATTTAAAATAAAAGGCCCACACATTTTGAAACAGACAGCAGTAAAAAAGACAATATACATCCTCTCACATTTTTACGGTTTGTTTATGTGAGAACTGGAGATTTTTTTCATCTAGAGAGGAAATTTTAATTATTTTAGGGCCTTCAGATACTAACAGAATCACTTTAAGAACAGCAAATCTGAAGTAATCTAAGAATCTTAGTGCACTTGAAGTAAGACAAAAGTAACAAGTCAATTTTCAGCAAAAATTAAGTCAATAATTCTTGAATATAGAAAAAGTACCAGGTCAACTGGAGATTATCCCACTTAACATTAGGAAGATATCTTACTATGAGGGGGAAAATACCAGCTGAACTTGTACTAGTGTTTTATAAACCTGTACAAACCTGTATTACAATTTTTATTACTTTTAAGGGTGCTCTGATCACACATCAGTTTAATGGGGGATGTATGTGGCAAAAGAAACTTGACTTCCATATTACAAGAAAATCATCCACCATCTTTACAAAGCACGGCAACAAATAAACTCGACCGGCTGCTTCTCTGATGCTTAAAACTTGGAGGCGTTAATGCGCCTCTAACACTCTGTCAGGATATTACTACAAGTTCTCATTACTGATCCGGAGACATTCTCACAAGTAATAAGACACATTGAAGTGCTCATTAAAGCACAATCTTATCTTTAGAGGTTTTGTACATCTTTCAGTGGATCAGGGTAGCTTAGTACATGTATAGCCAATGATTTAAAGCATTTTTAAACATTTTTTGTCATGTGAAGTTTTTCAAAAAGGGAAAAAAGACTGTGTCCTTTTATTTTTATTTTTATTTCTTTTTTAGATCAAAATGTTCTCCACAATTACAAATAAATGACAGTGGATGTTGCGGGCTTTGTCTTTAAGCAGAGGAATTTTAAATAAAATTTTATTCAACACACATCAGAAAATTGTTTTGAGTGAAAGAAATATCTTGATATTTAAACACCTCTAATTATAAAAGCCACAAGGCATCAAACTTTTGTATGAATATCTTGCAGTCACAATAGCAGCATGGTCACTGAAATCAATTTTAAAAAATAAATAAATAAATGAGATTTTGAAAAGTATCTTTTAAAAGACACTGGACCTGTGTCTTCGTTCAGAATTTGCGAATTGACAGATTGATCTGAGGAACAGAACTCAATTATTCACAGAAAATCTACTTATTTGTTCATACCAATAATACTTAAAAGAAAACGCAGCTTACAAAGTTGAAATACCCAGACACACTGTTGATTAGCATTCAAAAAAATACCAAATTCAGGAATGCCATTCTTTGTCCTTGGAGGTGGAAGGCTATAGTAAGGTCACAACAAAACATGGAGAAGAAGCTAGCTAGCGGCAAGCTAATAGCTGCTGACCCTGGAACATTTAAATATGATCCACGCAAATGTTTGTTCAAAGTTTTGCTTTGTCAACAAAGACATTGGAAGAAATTGTGGGTTCTTCTTTGACACGGCAATGCTGGGATGTCTGCGGGAAAAATGAAAGCTAAACGCAAAAACACAGACGGTCAACGACGATGTCTGTGACAGACGTAGGACATAGAGATGAAGATTTTTGTCAATAAATATGGTTAGAATAAAAAAAGTAAAAAACTGAAAATTTGAATTTGGGGAAAAAAACTGAATTTAAAAAAAATAATAATTATAAGACCCTGTTAAAAGGATTTATTAAAGGAGGTTTTATGTATTTGTGGCACTGAAGCCTTATTTCAATCATCACTATTGAACTTCAAATCTTATAGGACCGTTTGAAGGAGATTCAATGAATACCACAGAGGAAAAAGTAAATTGCCTGCCTACAGCTTTTTATACTCAATGTTTCAGGTCACCAAGAAAATTTTAATATCATACAATATCACAACGAAATGTCGTTTTCTTAAATGATGGACAAAAGACATTGCCACGGAAAGTATCCTGTGAAAATGCTGGGGATCCCACTGTGTAATGCTAAAGCAGCAGCATTAAGAGAAATATGACTATAAACACGGTGGTGATGGTGTGATGCTGTAGGACAACTGCAGTGCATTAGATTATGACTTACCATAATTGTTGGTATCATGAAATCCTACTGGAAAACATTCAGCTCTCAGTTCAAGATGACTGAATATGATAATATGAGCTCTTGATGGTGCTTATACCATCAAGGGCACCTCTAAAATAAAACCTCAGAAGTGGCCTAGTCAAAGTCCAGACATGAATGTGATTGAAATGCTGGGGTATGAGTAGGCCTGTCGCGATAAACGATTCGAACGATAAGTTAAAACTATCGACCTCATTTTAATTATCGGCTATATCGTGTCATCTCTTACTGTTGATGACACTGAATGAAAAAAGGCTCAACTCCGGTGCTCTCCACTGACCCTCCCTTCCTTATTTCCTTAATGTAATGCCCAGCGCGCGCTGCACGATCTTATGTCGCGGATTGTCGGCCCATTATCAAAACCTGAGAGACACATTAGCCGACAGAATCCTCGGTGTAACGGTTCGATCGAAACCGTGTTGTGTCCAACAATGGACACAAAATAATAAGCCCAGTTCACTAACTTTGAAACCAGGCATTAATCAATTCCTTACTACAATCTACTTGCAATGCATGTGGCGAGTGTCAGTCTGACTGAATGAAAATCATTATAACCTATTTAGGTCACGATAACGAAGAACAGCTGAAAAGTTACCGGGTTTTCTGGTAGTAATTTCGCTCCAACTCCTCCCCGAGTTATTTATATTTTCTTTGCACGAACTCTTGAATAAACATTCATGTTGTTTCCGATGTCTGCTGGACTTCGGGTTGCGCCAGGTCAGCTGTTTGGGATTCCCTCCGTGTTTCCCCTCAGAAAGCAGGAGGAGAATCCGCGCTTTCTGATTGGCTACCGGTCACATTCAACAGGCTGCGTCACTCTCCCAGTCTGGATAAATCCTTGATTTAGATCGGAGCGGCCACGACGATCTACCGTAACACACAACACAAGTGACAATCTTAGAACGAAGAACGTTCTAAGATTGTCGTTCGGGGTAAAAAATCCTGTAGTTTGAACTATTGCATCAGGCAGTCGGATTCTTCTCTATTTAAATCTAATTATCACTGAAGGGCAATACACTATACAGACTTCATAATCTGCACTCTTTTGGTTGAATGCAGTATTTATTTCCACTTTGGCTTCATGTTGTTTAGTTTTTATTCAAGTACATTTATTGTTAATTGAGACTAAGAATCTATTTTATTTTTGGTTTTGGTTTTTTTATTTTGTGTATCAGTCCCAGTGTTAAGTGTTCTTTTGAAAGTAAAGTGTATCTATCTTTGGCAGGAAATCACATGTATTATAATGTAATTTCCATTAAATCAATGTAAAAATGTCTTCAAACAATATTATCGTCTATCGCAATAATTTTTGAGACAATATATCGCCCAGCAAAATCTGTTATCGTGACAGGCCTCGGTATGAGCTTAAAAATGATGGTACTGCTTCAAAATCCTCCACCTTGTCAGAATTTAAACTGTTCTTGAAGGACGAGTGGGGCTAAAATTCCTCCATAAAAATGTTAAAACAATCATTGCTGGTTATGGAAAACCTTTTGAGTTGCACAACCAGTTATTAACATGACGAGTGATTATTTTTTCACACGTCCAGGTTAAAGGAAAAATAAATAAATAAAATGTTTTCACTCAGGCTGTCTTTTCCTGATATTCAAAACAGGTTGATAATCAGAAACAATTAAGTCTGACAAAATTATGGAACTTTCAGCATATCATATTTCATAGCACATGGCACACATTTGGTATTTCACATTTGAATCCTGCACTAAAATACAGCCAGATATTTGACAAGTGGAGGAAACACGGCAAACCTAATCATAAACATGTTCTCTCGTGAGTTCAGTTTATGCTCCCAGGTGCCGGGGCCCCGTCTAACTCAGGTGTCTCAAACTTCGCCGAGATCCCAGGAGGATCTCAACAGCTATTCATAATTCAGGAGCGAGCTGGAAGACAGTGAACTCACCGCCGGGCGAGAAGAAGACATGCTGGAAGGAAGAAAGATAGAGGGGGAAAAAACCTGCTGAGTTTTGCTGAATTCTGTCACTTTGTCTTCTGATCAGTGGGGGAAGAAAAGTGTTGACTTTTAGGACAATCCTATATCTGTGATTATTAATTGTGAACCAAGTTAAACTGGGAATTTTTGAATGTTTTCTCCCCTGCTGTGAAGAGCAGAGGGGATCCTCTGGTTGTCAGACTGAATTCAATAAAATGAAGAAACTAAAAGGATAGATAGATAGATAGATAGATAGATAGATAGATAGATAGATAGATAGATAGATAGATAGATAGATAGATAGATAGATAGATAGATAGATAGATAGATAGATAGATAGATAGATAGATAGATAGATAGATAGATAGATAGATAGATAGATAGATAGATAGATAGATAGATAGATAGATCATTCTTTAAGATAAGTGCATTATTATTGTCCAATAATAATAATAATAATAATAATAATAAATCTCCTACCTGCAGGACACAGTAACTTCTATTTTAGTTGCAGGGACTCTGGTGTTCAGAGGGTCGAATTCGCCTATTGAAGCCATCATCTCGCCTCACGACGCTGATGATCATCCGCAAAAAGCGCTTGGAAATCCGGACGAGTGAAGATGTGACGGTTCAGCACTCGGATCGTGATCGCAGAAAATCCATGGCTGAGATCTGCCTCTGGGTTTTCACCTGCGGAGCGGCGGAGGCGGGAGAGGAAGAGATTGTGTGTGTGGGTGTGTGTGTGTGTGGAGGGGGGATATGAGGGCGGCGGTGGTTGGGGAGGAGAGACCGACGGGAGGAGAGAGGCTGAAAGTTGGGAGGCAGATTTAAAGTTCATTCAGTTCCTCTTGTCGTGTGCGGCGGGCGGCCACGCTGCGCTCCAGGGTCTGTCCCGGCGGTGGCTCGGGAAGGAGGACAGCGCCGCCCGCCGGTGGCTCCAGGCAGCAGCAACAGGAAGGTGCAGCTCGTTTGTCATCACCAGACGCTGGTGGATTTAAACGCCTGACCTTTTCCGTTGCTTGCTGTCATCGGGACTCTCCCTTCTGTGCCAAAATCTCTGGCTATTTCTGCGTTACAACAGTAGCAGTTTGAAAATCCTGTTTATTAGAAACACGTCACAGTTTTTGTCCACTTCTAACTGCATTTTGGGGTGAAAATATAAAAAATAGAATGTATTAATATTATGCAGAAATCAACTAATAGGGTTAAAACCCTAAAAAATAAGTTACCAAAAGAAGATTATCTACATATTTGTACAATAATCTGTGGAACGAAGTTTAACTTTGGTTACGGTGTATGGGAGTACCATTTGTAAAGTTACACAGTAAAAGAATTAACTGCAACAATTTGATTTAATTAGCCAGACAAAGATTATCATATTTTCACAATATTATTCATACGTTTATAAATGTCATACCAAAATATTTAATTTAAAAGCTACATATTTAGTTGCAAACTTTGTGTTTAGCCTGGCACAGAGAAAGTTCAATGAAATGGATAGCACTCTGAACACTTAGCAAGCTAAAATATATTCAGCTATAGTTAGCAAGTTAAATTTAGTAGATTTTTTGCCAAATATTTAGTTAGGAAGTAAATTTTTAAAGTCTGAGCAAAAATATAGTTTGAAAATATTTTGTCATTGCCATTCTAATTTTAGTTGGCACACTTAAAGTATTCAGCTCAACATTTAGTTGAGTTAAACATTTAGTTAACTAAATATTAATTTCTAATATTTAAATTGTAAACTAAACATTCAGTTTGCAAAATAAATACTTGATATACAAAGTAAATACAATATTTATGTCCAGCAGCACCTGGAAAGTAGCTTGTGTGATGAGCTCAGCAGAAGTAGTTCTGCCAGGTGTTTGCTAATTGCTTCTGGCTGGTTTGAAGGAACTGAGTGAGGAAGAGGGTGGAGCTGCATGGAAAAGTTGATGCTCTGTCCATTCAGTGATTTTTGCACTACTGAATGGTTGACCTGGAGACCAAAGGGATTCTTAGAGATACATTAAAGAAATAAACAAAAATAAAAGCATCCTCACATGTTGAAAAGCTCAAGAAAATTGATCTTACATAATACTGTTCCTTTAACAGTTTGAAATTATTAGTACTTAAGTTCATGCATGTACAGTAATATGTGGTTTCAGAGCCCTTCATAGTTTGAATCTTTTGATTTCAACAGAAAATTGTGTGTGTGATCTATGTTAACTTTGAGGGAGTTGAATATTGAATTGAAAATCACTGACTTGAGAATGCTTAAATAAAAGAAGACTTAATCATTTCAAATGCATTATTATTTCTCTAGCATCTGGCTGCTTCCAGCATGTTAGCTTGTTGATATTTTCATGTGAAATTTCCCTCAGCAAAGCCTCCTAAATCAATCAATCAATCAATCAATCAATCAATCAATCAATCAATCAATCAATCAATCAATCAATAAAATTTTATTTGTATAGCACATTTCAGCTACAAGGCATTTCAAAGTGCTTTACATCATAAACACAAAACACAAAGGCATGCAACATAGAATAAAATACCAAGGTTTTATTCAAAACTCGGTTGATTATTATCTGACTATTTCTTCCTTCACATCTGTTATTTTTTCTGCAGTTGCTTGAATAAGGAAGATTGCTGTTCTACAAAAAGTTCATCAGCTCCCTAACTTCAGCAGACATAAAGACAACACATAAACCACAGCAGCACATTCAGGAAGGGAAGATGGAGTTTTTTTCTGAACTTTCATGGTGGAGCGAACTCAACTGGAAACATGGAGAACGGAGAGCTGCATTATCTGGGACAGGAGGGCTGTGCCCAGAACATGATCAGTTCACAGCAGCCGGGCAGCCTGTTCAACCTGCTTCCATCTGGAGGGAAAATGGAACCGCATCTGTAGCAGCAGACTTCACAGTGGTTTTCTCCATCCTGCTGGGAGACGACCAAATTCATCCTCTACACACTTCACTGAGATCCAGTGCTTGTTACTTGATTGATTTTTGTGTGTGTGTTTGGGCAGGGTTCCTGTAGATGCTTCACAAAGCGACTACTTATGTAAACTGTATAATTAATTCAAGGCCGACTCTCAAAATTCATAGATTTTTGCTATATTGTGAAGTAAAACATTCCACACAGAATAACACGTTAGGTTACTGATATCACAATTTCAATTTCTATCTGTAACCAGTGCTTTTAAAGCGTGACATGACTGCTATTAAATGGTACAGCTACTTTCTCTCCAGCACAAATCATAATTCCAAGGCAGGGTCTCAAATAAAACAAGTGAAATGTTACAATTTACTGCTTGGTTTGGGTTTCCACATTTTACAAATGAAGTCCATCAAAGCTCTACACATGCGGTTGTTTTATTGTTTTGGACCACTGTTTTATAATGTCGGTTAATAAAATTCAAGTATGCCACATAATATTCTTTTTTTTGAAGGCCTCAGAGAATTATTAGAGATTGGTGAACAAACAGTATCATGAAAACTATGGAATACAGTAGAGAGGTCAGGGGGGAAGTAATGGAGAAATTTAAAATCAGAGTTAGACTATAAAACAAAATCTCATGCAGCTCTGTTCACTCCAGTTTCCAAAATGGAAAAGAGATTGACAGAACACCAAACCTGAACATGATCATCCAAGGAAAACAAATAGCGGAGAGGAGAATGAAGTGGCCAAGGGGATTGAGAGATGCTTATGAAGATTGACTGAACAACATAGATACGTCTATGAGTCTTTGTTGTTGACTTACCACCAAAAACTACAGTACTTCTGTCTGTTGTTGTTGGTTGTGCAGGAGGCTCGACTTCAGCTTTTCAATGATCTGCAGTTGCACAATTGTGCACTTACCATTTTCACATGCGAGTGTAAACGTTTAGTTGTGGGATCGCTGCTTAGAAGCAGATTATTTTCATTTAAAGTGACAAGAGGCTTTAAAAACCGCTGAACTAAAGCAGAACTAAGCAGAACTAAGCAGGCCACAATCTCATTACCGAAAAAATTATTTTGTGCAAACAATGAAATGAACATGTTTGGTATAGCCCAGAGTTATTTTAACTTGTTCAAAGATGCATAACAGGTCATGTTTGAAAGTTATGCTCTACTTTGTGTAGGTCTATCATGTAAAATACAAATAAAGTATAGTGTGAAATACTAAATTATTTTAAAAAGGAAGAACCTCCTGTATTTATATTCAGTGGAACAGACATTGAGTTGGGGCTCCACACCCACTGTCAATTAGCAACCCAAGCTGCCATCCTCTGACATCTCCGCTTCTAAATCTGGATGACCTGCTCCACCAAGCAATTCCCCGTTAATCACTTCTCCTTTAAGCGTCAAGAAACCTCTGTAGAGCCTCCTACGAAGACCTCATCATCCCATCATTTGTGGAAAAAAGTCTTGTATTTTTGGAAAATGCAACGACACATGGTCTCACAGTCATATGAAAGCCTTGCCCAAACATAAGGGGGATAAAATCAAGAGGAAAAAGAGAGCGCCAGCAGGAAATGATGATGTTTACAGTCACACAAGCTTGGTGGGGTTTAAGCTAAGAAAGAAGGGAGAAGGGGGAAAACTCAGTCTCCTAAGAAGAAGATTCAAGTCGAACAATTGTCCAAAACATTTAGGGCTTTGCTGATGGTTCATCTGTGACAGAAGGTGAATGTGGCTATATCAAGTTTCCACTGGTCTTGCTGCACACTGATAACGGCAAATAGATGTTACTCTCTGCTGTGTGTGTGTGTGGGGGTGTGTGTGTGCATGTGTGTGTGTGTCTTCCTCTGTCTGCATGTGTGTCTGCAGATCCACTCAATTTTGCAGCTGATCAGGCAGAAATTGAAAATGTTCATGGGGCCAAGGAGACAGCAGAGAGATAAAATGGGAAGTAGGGCAGAGATGGAGAGAAAGGAAGATGGAGGTCTGGGTGATGGGGTGGGGGGCGATGGAATAGGATGAAGAGAAAAGCTAGAGGAGGCAGAAGAAAGTCATGTTATTTACCCAATTCCCCCCATCTGCTGCCTCTGGATCGTCCATAGAGGAGACGTGTAATCGCATGATAAAAGGGGACAAGGGAGAGAGTGTGTGTGTGTGTGTGGGGGGGTGTCTGTGTGTGAGGGGAGGGGCAGCTAATTATCCACGGAGGGGAAGTCCTGTTTAGTTTCCATCTCAGGGTCCAAGCAGAAAGCAGGTCCATACTGACAGAAAGAATGGAAAATAGATGATATTCTTTTGTTTGCTCAAAAATGTTCCCCTGATTCAATCTATTTATTCTACCAACCATATAACTTGGTATGAAGTCTGAGGTCAGCATGTTCTCAGTGTTTTTTGTTTTATTTTATTTTATTTTTGAAAGACAGCCATAAAGAATCACTGTAAAAAAAGTTTGGTTGGATTTAAAGTAAAAAAACAAAACAAAAAAAAAAAAAACTTATTTTGATTTAGTCTTACAGTAGGAATTATGGATGAACAAAGATTTCACTGGTTGTAAAAAGTATGACTTCACACTATTTAGAATTGTGCAAAAAATTTGTTTTACATTTTAATATATAACTGTGACTAGTTGCTGTAAATTTTTTTTTTTTTGTAAGGACAAAAAATGTATTTGATTGATTTAAATTTCATAACTGACTGAAGCTCTAGGTGGGTGTTTACATGTTTGTTTTAATTCAATTTGAATAAGCATTCAAAAAAAAACAAGCAAACAAAAAAAACCTAAGGGTAAAGCATTGTGTGTTGATAATGTTTTATCAATCATGTATTTATCATGCGTTTACTGGAGTCTTTTTACTACAATGTAATAAAATAC